AAAATGCGAAAAAGTATATAAGCGCTCGTAGATTGAAGAGAGCAAGATATCTAAAAAAAACTAAAAAAAATTCTAAGTATAAGAAAATATTTTTGGTGTTTTGTTTAGAAAATAATTGAATAATAATTAAAGCCTAATTCTATTTATATTTTAATTGATAAAATAAACTTAAAAAGTGATCAAGTTAATTAATTTTTATTGTGAAAATAAAGTTAATTAAATAAAATCTATATCTAATTTTTTTAATGATTTTATTAAAAAAAGGTTATTATAAGAAAAGAATTAAATTAAATTAAATTAAAACAAAATAAAAATAAGAAAGATTTATGGGCCTTCTTGTAAGAAATTGGAGGGGTGTGGAAAGAAGGAAAACTAAGCCCAAAAAAAATGAGCCCAGGAGCTGGTGGTGGTTCTGCGTGACCGGTTACCTAGGGTTCACCATGGGGACTTCATCAGGGGCGTTGGATCTCAATCTTTCAAGATATGAAGGTCAGAGCATTATGTATACCATGCTTACATATAAAATGTTAGAAAAAATCAGGAAATACATATGAATGGAATAAGCATGCTTACAAGGATTTAAACCATGAAAGTCTTGAGAAAATGAAACCTATCAATCTTACCAATCAGAGTTGATGTGAGGGTGGTTTCTACAGTCGATTTGTGAAGGGTAATGGTTGATTCTAACTCCTGGAAACGTTAAGAGGACAATGGAAGGTTTGGATCGGTTTGTAAACCGCTGGAGATGCGAGATATGATTTTCACAATTTCGTTGAATTTGGAGAACTTTTTGGAGAGCTTTGGTGTAAAATTCTGTGGTCCTTTTCTCTTGTCTTTTCTTGCATTATATAGATGAGTGAAATTCTTCAACGAATATGGAATGAAATCAACTCATCAAGCCATGGTTTAAACAAAAATAAGACAACTTTAAAACTTCCCAAATTTGAAATATCTTTGCCTTCTTAGGCTTGCACGAATTTAGCAAGGTTGTGATGTGTTGTCATGAGTTTTCATGAGTTGTCTTGGGCTTTTGGATGATTGAAACAAAAAGCCTAAGCCTTTACACCATTTTTTCATATTTTATTTGATTTTATTTGCATTTAAATGAATAAAAATTAAAATAAAAGAAATAAAAATCATCAAAAATATGTGAATGGATTTAGAGGTCCTCTAACACCTTATGAACATGTTTGAACATCAAAAGTTAGGCCCACTAGTTCAAAACTTTAAGTTTGCTCACTTTGCATTTCATGCATTTCCTCTAAATTTCCCAACTTGTGCAACTCATAATTTGCTCAATTTTTATCTTTTTAAGGTGATATTGGACTTTTTTCAAAGCTCAATATGTCCTCTAAAACCTCTAATTTGACCATTTTTTCTGTTGGAGATATTATCTTGATGTAATTTGTCTTGACAAATAGTGCTTTTTGTTGACTTTTGAAAATGACCTATAATTTATTAGCTCATATCTTCCAAATGAAGCATTTTTTGGACTTGAGATTAAAAGCTAAGTTGCAAAGAATTTAAGTTTCTTCAAAATGGGCTTTGGTTGGGGAAAATTTGATGAAGCATGTGAAAGTTATGCCTCGTCAAAGTTCAGTTGACTTCTCCTAAGGAAACCCTAATTTGGCAATTCTTGACTTTTGATGATTTGAGAGCTTTCCATGGGGAATCATGATCAATCCTTGATTAAATGATGAATATCATTTCAAAATATTGATGTTGACCAAAAATCTTGAAGTTTGACTGTATGTTGACCATAATTGACTTTTTGACCAATACATTTGATTTTCAATCATCTGAGCCATTGACTGAGCGAACTTGTGATGCAGGACTCGAAACTTGACATGAATCATGTTGAGGACCTAAGGGGAACCATGGAATCCACTTGAGATATTTTCAAACCAAATTTCATTGAGAAACTCCAAACCCTAGTTGTAGGCCTTTGGCTTAGGAGGAGCATCTTGACTAGTCAACCCTTGAGTGTCTTGAATATCTGAGATGCCTTGAAAGAATGTCTTGAGAAGAAAAGGCAAGGTAAAACTTTGGGGTAGAACAACCACTATCATTAAATATATAATAAAACTTAATTCAAAAATCAGAAGTCAAATAAAATTGAATACACGTGTGTTTTTGGGGTTTGGGGTTTTGAATGGACCAATGGGAGAACGCCACACCTAGGCCGCCTGAGTAAGAAGGGTCAAACCACTGTGGAGGGTGGTCAACTTCATCTTCTTTGTTGAGGAGATTTTTAATACCGACTATAATCGATCAAAAAATGAAAAAAAATAATCCTGATCCACTAATTAGGGTCTTACAATCTCAAAGGTAGTGTTAGTTTCAGCTAAAATGACCTGTAGCTAGGGTTTCTAAACTTTGAGAGCTCCGAGCCCTAACCATGGTGGTTTGTTGTTTCAAACTGGAGCAACTTGGTTGACACGTTTTTGGATGCTTCAAGCTTGAATGATGGTTGGTATGAACTCCTGGGACCTTCATGAGTCTAGTGTGATGCTTGAAATCAACTGAGAATGGCTAGAGATAGGGGTTTGAGTTTGCCCTAGTTCTTAAAAAATTTGAGTTTTTAGGGTTCTTCTTGAGATGAAACACGCGTGTTCCTGAATGGCTGAAGGTATTGTGTATTTATAGGAGAAGAATTAGGTCGACATTTGTGAGATGAATCTTTGTAATTCATGGTGAAGAGATTTGATTTGAATTTTGCATGAAAAGTTTCTCTTTTAGGCCAATCTTGTGCCAATCATTCTCACACGGTTTTGGCAAGTTGTCATGAGTTTTTGGGCTTCAAATCTGATCCAAAACAAAATCCTTGTGCCTTAATCCATTAGTTTTATATTTTATTTGATTTATTTTGAATCTAATTGAATAAAATAAAATAAAAAGAAATAAAAATCACAAGAATATATAAATGGATTTAGAGGTCTAATATGAGGTCATGAACACGTTTGAACCTAAAAACTCAGGCCCATTATCCCAAAAATCCAACTTTGCTCAAAGTGGACTTCATGCATTTTCTCAAAATTTCTCAACTTTCACAAATCATAACTCACTCAATTTTTGTTATATGAAGCTGATATTGGACTTTTTGGAAACCTTGAGATGTCTCCTACAACTTTCATGTTGGTCATTTTTACATTTGAAGTCTTTAACTTTCTATAAATTTCTTTGATAAAAGATGTCTTTTTGTTGACTTTTAAAATGACATGTAAAGTTTTGGCTCATATCTCTCAAATGAAGTATTTTTGGCCTTGAGCTTAGAGGAAAAAAGTTGCAGAGAATTGATTTTCCTTCAAAATGGGCTTTGTTTGAGGAATTTATGATGAAGTATGTGAAATTTATGCTTGGTCAAAGTTTAGTTGACTTCTCCTTAAGAAAACCCTAATTTAGTAACTTTTGACTTTTGATGAATCTTGAGTTTTCTTGATGAATCTTGATCAAACCTTGATCAAATGATGAATGTGACTCCAAAATGTTGATGTTGACTAAAAATCTTGAAGTTTGACTGTATATTGGTCAAAGTTGACTTTTTATCCAATACAGTTGACTTTCAATCACCTGACTAATTGACTGAGCAAACTTGTAATGTAAGGCTTAAAACTTGGTATGAGGTTACCTTGAGACATATGAGAAACCATGAAGTCCATTTGAGGCATTATAAACTCAATTTCCTTCGAGAGAAGCAAAACCCTAGTTGTAGGTTAATTGCTTAAGAGGAGAGTTTGTCTGGTCAACCCTTGAGTAGTCTTGAGTGTTTGAGACCTTAATTTGTCTTAAAAATGGGAGGGAAAATTTTGGGGTACAACAACTGACCCTGTTCAACATTCTTAAACCTGAATAGTTAGATTGACATGGTTGCTGTAGCGATAAAAAATGTAGCAGTGTAAATTGGAGATCGAACTATTAATTAACTCAACTCAAAAAAGCAAGAGTCGTCACCGCGCTTTATTATTTCCAAGGGAAAAGGGAAAAGAGCGAAATAAAACACTTAAATATGCAATGTCAAGTAATACTTAAAAATAATGAAAAATACAATGCGTTTTTGAAATAGATCGAAGGTTCGGGGGTTGGTTATATAAAGGGAAGGTACTAGCACCCAATGTATCTGCGGTACTCCGCAGGAACCTTTTGAAATATCTGTTTTGTTGGTTAAAATTGTTTGTTTGGTCAAAATGGGTGTGGACGAGATTTTGAAGATACAACGACCTAGTGTTGAAGTTTTGACTTAAAAGGTGCGAGTTTTAAAATTGAGTCTTTTAGGAAGATTAAATTAAGATTAACAAAACTAAAAAAATGTATGAAGGGTTTCGCACAATCGTAACAGATATATTTGATGACATGAAGTCAACAAAGGTAAAACATTTCCCTTGGAATTTAGACGAACAAAAGATATAAAGATTAAATGATCGAGAATAAAGTTAATTAGAATGACAATTGAATAATTAAATAAATAAGAAAAATTAAATAAGAGATTAATTTATACTAGCATGTATTTTTGAACAATTAGATAAATAACCAAAATTAAATAAAAGACTAATTTAATAGCATGTATTTCTGTATTTTATAATGGCAAGAAAAAATTATATATATAAAATAAACTAAACTAATATTTTGTTATCATATATTTGTAATAGAATTGGGAAAATAAGGCTAAAAGAACTAAAAAAAGAAATAAAATGCCAAAGTGAGGGGTTGAACTCAGGTCTTTTTGGCCATCAGTGGTATGACTTGCCACTGAGCTATTGCTATTTTCTTGTCATATGTATATCTTAATTAAACTAAAAACGGAAAGTTAAAACATGACTGGGCTAAAAGGCCCAAAGGGCCGACCCAGTTTGGGAAGTGTAATAGAAGGGTTTTTCAAAGCCTAATTACACAAAGAGGTGTCGCTGGCTGAATCGTTGGGAAGAGGAAACAAATCTCGTAACCTTCTCTGCTTTCTCTTTCTAAATACCGAAACAACAAAACCAAACTTCTCGTTCCTTCTCTCAATCGAGTCTCTCGCTCTCTCGCGATAACCTCTTCTCTCTCAAACTCAAATCCGTAATAAATACTATGAACTGAGGCATAATCCAAGTATGCTTCAATATCACTGCTTCCTCATCTCTGTTTTGGTTCTGTTCTTCAAGGAAAATGTTGTTATTGTTGCTGTTGCTATCATGTTTATGTTTGTCACAGGTTGAATGGAATTTTGGTGAAGGATTTAATAGCTTGCACATAGATTTGAAGACATATTGAGTATGATGAATTACTTTGCCAAGATCAAGAAGGTTTGAATTAGTGTCTCTGGGATTCTGAATCCCGTTTTGAACACCAGTTGGACTTGAATGACAGTCAATGATAGAGGAATTGTCCCAAGCCATAAATCCTTTGAAAGGTCCTACTTGAGTCATTTGAGTGTTTCTTGTGTGAGTATCCTTCCCAGCTATTCCAGCAGAGTCTTTATAAAAGTTCCAAATCTTGCTCAATTGTGGTTCTACTAAGTGGGACCGATTGATTCGCGTTCCTTCCAAGGGGACATGAGTACAAAAAATTTACATTTGTATGCTTTCCTAAAATCGGGCCTGACTTTGTCGATGAGTCACCAAGGGGACCTGAATGAGAAACACTGGATTTATTTTTTCTAACAATTGGTACGAATCTCGTTGTAATATTATTAAGAGGTCCTGAAGAGAATCTGGCAATATGATTCTGTGATGGGTCGAATGAAGATTGAAATAACGCAGATACTGATTGACTTCTGTAAATGCTCTCAAAAACTAAGACACTCGAGTTATTGGTTCCACCACCATCTACCATGTCTGGAATACTTAATACATGGTTGATCTTACAGAATATTATGAATAGAGATCTTGCCAAAAGATGTATTGTGTAATCACATGTCTTGTTCCATAGAGAAATATCCCTCAAGCTTTTCACCTCATGCCTCTTCCATGCAACTTTCTTCTGATACTCGCTTAGACTTACACCATCCGTCTCACCATTAGGCCTCACTCTTGTAAGAGTTTGCTCCAGCTCGATAAGCACCTCCATCTCTTGATACACACTTGCATTAGTCGATATAAAATTTCCATCTTTTTAATCTTTCTTTCCATCTTCTTGCTAGTGAATTCCCCCCAATATGGAAATTGGAATGAAATGCAAACAAAATTGAGAGAGAGAGGTAAGTTTGAAGTGTTTTTTTAGAGTTTTTTTGTGTAATTTCCTTGGTTTTCTCTAACATTTTATAATATCTACTAGTTACAGCAATTTTCAGTATATATATATATATATATATATATATATATATATATATATATATATATATATATATATATATATATATATATATATATATATATATATATATATATATATATATATATATATATATATATATATATATATATATATATATATATATATATATATATATATATATATATATATATATATATATATATATATATATATATAAGGTTGCGATAAATCAAGCATTCATATGGCATAAAGAAAATGATGCAAATAGAATAATCAACTATGTAAGTGATGATACTGATGGATATATGAGAAAATTATGCAGAAGTAATAGGGAGAAGAAATATCTATCGGAGTCTCTCCGATGGAGCTTCAAAAATAGTAAGTTTTCCCTCCCTCTCTTATTATGCTCAAGCTTCTTTAGCTCTGATTCGTGAACAAACTTCCCTCTTTTTTGTCCATGAAGGTGGCCTTTTATAATGAAATATGTGGGGTTTTAGGGGGGGGGGGGGGGGGGGGGGGGAATTGTGAGAAATTTGAACAGTTATGAATGCCTTGTTTTGAGGCTTTTTTCATACAGTTTTGAGTTGCCATTTTGGTGTAACCTCTAGGCTGTTATGATGCAGGGCAGCAGACTGTATTAGACTAATTTAGAGCAGATTTATAGTAGTTTTGTTTGGTATTTCTGTGCAGGTTGGAACAGGGCAGCAGGCTATATAGAAGACTGGTTTGTGCTGATTTTTAGCAATTTTATAGCAGTTTTTGGACTAATCTGCAGGCTGCTATTTGGACAGCAAAAGTACCACAAAAAATTGGACGGTTATTTTTGAAACAGGGCTGAAAAATGGGATGATTTGCAGGCTGTATTTGGATTGGTTTACAGAAAATTTTGGCAGGGTATTGGAGCTTTTAAAATTAAAAATAGGTCTAGAATTTAACTCTTTATGTAACATGAATGGAAATTTGTCTTTAATGTAATTTTCTCAATTCCTTTGTATTTGTAAACATTTTGGATCATTTGAAACTTTGAATCTTTATATTCATCTTGATGAAATTTGAAATCTTCCACTTGAATTTGGAAAGGAATTGATTGATACTTGAATGAATTTTTGAATAATGAATGAGCAATGATGCAAGCCTTAAGACCTCAATCTTGCATCTTGTATTAGAGATCCAAATGAATTACATGAATTGATATTGTAATGAAGTTGTAACCATCATGGATTTGTTCTTGTGATGAATGACAATTTTGAATCTAATTTCTCTTTTCAATATCACCTTTAATAAATTCCTCATGAGAATTCAAATGGCCAAGGTGGGAATCCATCAAAGTAATCACACAAAAATAATCTTGAATAAATGCAATGTGATGAATGATTTGAAACTTGAATGAACCTTTTTGATAACTTTTATTTAGTTAACACTTGAATTCAAATGGTGAAGACTCCAAATATTCTAAATAAATTCTTCCAAAGTGAACTTGAATTTAATCACCCCACTCTAACGAAATTCACCCCGCGTCATGTAAGTATAAGAAATCGAACCAAACTTAAAAGTTTTAAATGATCACTAGAAGTGCGATTTGAGGCAAAATGCTATCGCATTGAGAATTTGGCACAATGAACTGAACTTAGAGATCAAGAAACTCTAAAGTCATGACAAACGTCCTATAACGTCTTTTCATGGCTTTCTAAACATAATTTGTCTTCAACTTTTAAAGAAAACTTGCAGATGACTTTTGGTCGAAGTGCTTTGAATTGACTCGCATAGTCTGATTTTTTCTTGTATTTCAAGGCAAGGTGAAACCCACATGAACCGTGGTAATGGAACCTTGACTATTTTTATGAAGAATTTCGGAGACACTTGAGGCCATTTGTTGAACAGAGCATGGAAATAAACACATGATTCTCTGAAAGTTCCCCGAAACAAACTATCACACTTGAGACATCCTTGATCAATATGAGATTGAACGACGTTCAAGACTCTATGCTTTGAGATTAGAAGTTGTGCCATGATGAATCAGTCTTTGAGAATCAATGGTCAGTTGTACTTCTGGCTTGAGAGACTCAAAACCCTAATTGAGGCGTGACACCTAATGCTCTTGATTCATACCTGTTTCTGCACATGAAATCAAAGAAACAAAAACACACATTTCATGCTTGATTAGAAGTTAGTCATGCATAAGATAAAATGTTCACAACACTCGATAATCTCTGCACAGGTAATGCTCGAAGGTGATAAGTTCAAAACCGACCATATTTTGTGACCTTGATGTATATTTAAAAAATGCAAATGAAGATGTGATCTTAGGTAAAAAATTGGGGTATGACAGTTGCCCATATTTAAGTTTCTTCTATCTGGAGATATGAAGATTGAAATCTTCGTCTTGACGAGATTGAAGGGACTTAAATACAGAATACGCAAATTTTGGCCCTAAGATATCGCCATTGTGTTTATGATATGATATGAATGTAATATTTGAATCTTATGGGGAATGATGTTGCACGAGACAAACTAATGCTGGAGAAACCAAGCACATAAAAGAAATAATCCGCAGGGGAAGAGATTATAACTCTACTGGAGAAACAGAGCCATAGACTTCGAATGATAGACTGTTATTGGGGCATAACTTCGAGAGAAAGCAATTTTCTGACTCTAACAAAGAAAATGACTTGCATAAGTTGCAAAAATATAGATGGTTACTGACTCAAGATGATGGTGAGTTTACAACTCGGGGTTAAAGGTAGACAAAAGATACACAAACTTTTACTGATAGTGAACTACAAATTTTTTACTGAAGGTAGAGATTTCATAACAAACTTCTCTGCGGGACTTTTCCGGAGAGATACCATTTGCTGCTGAAATAACATATTATTATGGATACACAAGCTGCTTAAATAAAGAGGCCGCCACTTGCTGTCTTCAAAGGATATTAATAAACACACAAGTTGCTCATAAAGAGACCGCCGCTTGCTGTCTTCCAAAGATTTCAATAATACACAAGCTGCTCATAAAGATCCTGCCACTTGCTACTTTCCAAAGATATCAGTAATACACAAGCTTCTCATGAAGAGTCTGCCACTTGCTACCTTCCAAAGATATCGATAACACACAAGCTGCTCATGAAGAGACCACCACTTGTTGTCTTCCAAAGATATCAATAACACACAAGCTACTCATGAAGAGTCTACCACTTGCCATCTTCAAAAGATATCATTAATACACAAGATGCTCATGAAGAGTCTGTGACTTGCTACTTTCCAAAGATATCAGTAATACACAAGCTGCTCATGAAGAGACTGTTGCTTGTTGTCACGTCGATGTTCCAGAAGAATGTTGTGATAACACTACTAGGGAATAAATTTCTTCGTTAATGGGGAACCATGAATAGGTCCTTCCTGAGGAGACCAAGTATTTAAATGCGCAAAATAAATGCGCCCTTCTTCTAGGTTTCACAGCCTAGAGAAAACCACGTGTAGCATATGCAAGAGACAAAGCTCAATCTAGGAATAAACCAGAGAGAAAACAATCAAACAAGACTCCAACCAATGAGGAAATAACTCAATTGGGGATTTTTCCTATCCAGAGATGGAAAAGAAAGGCTAAAGCAAGATTCTTCCACGAGGATTAGCTCAATTGGGGAATTAGAAAGGAGGCACACTTTCTACTTAAGTTGACACTATTTGAAAAGAGCAAATACGTTGTTTGAATAGACATAACCAATGTATACAAACCCAATAACATCGACAAATACGAATGTGTGTGCATGATGCAAGTGTAAATGAATAAATGAATGTCATGTATATGCTGACAAAACAGATAGAGGAGATAAACTGAAGATGATAAGACATCACCAAACAACCAAATACTCGGCTAATCTCAAAGAGATGGGAAAATACTTGGAGATAGACCAAAAAGCATCGTCAGAGCATATCATATTACAAGGCTTAAGTCTCTTTAAAGAGGACCATAACCAAATTCCAATCTTCTAATATCAATAAACCACTGACATGATGACAAAATGTACTTCACTTTGGTTAGGGAGAAAAATCTTGCTCAACTAGAGATAACTGAATCAAGGCTTAACCGGGATTGCCGGGGAGTCACCAAGCCTAGAAATCTACTGGGAACACAAGATCACACAACCAACACCCCATGATGATTTTGAAGGAAGAAACCACTATTCATCATACAAGGATGAATTACTATGTTGTTTTGCATTTCAAGGCTTAACCATTCTCGGAGCAACTGTTAATATTCCTTCCAGTATTCATGACACATTTCAAGATAGGAATACTCTAATTAACTTTGTTTCAAATTTTGCCTGATAGAAAAAAACATAAAAAAAGGATAAATGCTCAAATTTCATTAATAAGATGGTAATCCGCTAATGGGGTGACTCCCAAGGTTTACAAAAATTTGGAAAATGGTACATGAAAGAAGAAGTTACAAGAAAACAATGACCACTATTCTCCCTAACAACTTTGAATTATAAGATGTGCTCAAATTTTCTATGACTGGTCTGACCAAAAGCCTGCTTAAGCTGCCCCTTCGGGTTTTCAACTTAGCGAGCTGTCATCTCAAATTTAGGCGAAGTACTTCTTGACTACATCAGCATTCATAGAGCGCGGGAGCTCCTCACCGTCCATATTTTTAATAATCATGGCGCCCCCAGAGAAAACCTTCTTAGCAACATATGGTCCTTCATAATTCGGAGCCCATTTGCCCCTAGAATCAGGTTGGAAAGATAATATCTTCTTGAGCATGAGGTCACCTTCTTTGAATTCGCATGGCTGAACCTTCTTATCAAATACCTTCTTCATTCTCTACTGATATAGCTGGCTGTGACACAACGCTGTCAATCTCTTTTCTTCAGTTAAATTCAACTTATCATATCTACTTTGACACCATTCAGCCTCAGAAAGCTTAGCTTCCATCAAAAATCTCATAGACAGGATCTCAACCTCCACGGGGAGTATTGCTTCCATGCCATATACTAGAGAAAATGGAGTTACACCTGTTAAAGTTTGAACTGAAGTACGTTACCCATGTAGAGCGAACGGGAGCATCTCATGACAATCTTTGTAAGTCACCACCATCTTATGGATAATCTTCTTGATGTTTTTATTAGCAGCTTCAACTGCCCCATTCATCTTTGGTCTGTAGGGAGAAGAATTATGATGTTCGATCTTGAACTCTTCACAAAGCTCTCTCATCATATTGTTATTCAAATTCGAACAATTATCAGTGATGATCTTTCTCGGGATGCCGTATCGACAAATGATCCGATTCTTGATAAATCTGACCACTACCTGTCTGGTTACATTAGCATATGATGCTGCTTCCACTTATTTAGTAAAGTAGTCAATGGCCACTAAAATGAAATGATGACCATTTGAAGCCTTGGGTTCAATCATTCCAATCATATCAATGCCCCACATAGAGAAAGGCCAATGTAAAGAGATAACATTGATGAGGGTTGGTGGCACATGTGTCATGTCCGCATAAGTTTGGCACTTATGGCATTTCTTCACATATTTGCAGCAATCGGATTCCATTGCCATCCAATAGCAGCCAGCCCTCAACATCTTTTTAGCCATTGCATGTCCATTGACATGAGTGCCAAAGGATTCTTCGTGTACTTCTTGCATCAACATGTCTGCTTCGTGTCTATCCACACATCTGAGCAAAACCATGTCATAATTCCTCTTATATAATAC